AGATTGAAAGCATCAACTAATGAACGAATCAGTTGGAACAGTCTAATCACTGAAGGGATTTAGAATGATGCTAGCTGGCGCAGTGGCTCATTAGGCTAATCCTCCGCCTGCGGCGCCGGCACTCCAGGTTCTAGTCCAGGTCACTCCTCTTCCAGTCCTGCTGTCTGCGCTGTGGTGGCTTGGGACCCGCATGGGAGACTAGGAGGAAGCACCTGGCTCCTGGCACCGGATCGGTGCAGCGCACTGGCCGTAGCAGCCATTTGGGGGGGGGGGGGGGTGAACCAATGGAAGGAAGACCTTTCTGCCTCTCTCTCTCTAACTCTGTCAAAAAAAAAAAAAAAGATACCACAGGCGGCAAAGCACTACATCATAGCATAAAAACAAATCTAAATTCCTTAATCCCATATGCTTTTTGAGACAAAAGAGAGGGTACTAAGTGAAAGAGAACATTTCTGTTTTATCTACATTGTTTTTTTCCACTGATCTTAGCACTCCTGTTCTACTGTGCCTCTGTGAAAGAAAATTTCTCACAGTGTAGCCCCAGCCTCAACTTCTCCAGCCTGTTCCTGCCCATTAAAAGGGGAATGTAGGAGCCAGCACTGGTGCTGTGGCGTAGTGAGCTAAGTATACGCCTGCAGCGCTGGCGCCCATGTGGGTTACTGTCCAGGCTGCTCCTCTTCCAAATCTACTCTCTGCTATGGCCTGGGAAAGCAGTAGAAGATGGCCCAGATTCTGGGGCTCCTGCACCCATGTGGAAGACCCAGAAGAAGCTCCTAGCTTCGGATGGGCTCAGCTCCAGCCTTTGCAGTAATTTGGGGAATGAACCAGCAATTTGGGGAGTGAACCAGTGGATGGAAGACCTCCCTTGGTGCCTCCCCCTCTCTGTCTGTAACCTTACCTCTCAAATGAATAAATAAAACCTTTAAAATAGATAAATAAATATAAAGGGGAGTGTATTGTTCTTCCACCTTTGGACTCAGATGAATATTAACTCTCCAGCATCAACTAATGAACGAATCAGTTGGAACAGTCTAATCACTGAAGGGATTTAGAATGATGCTAGCAGACATGCAACCAGACAACATGATTCTATAGATTAATGTCTTGGGCATCCATCCCACTTAGTTTGCCTTGCTTCTTTCAGGCTTAGTCCTGTGGGAGAAGCGGCAGAATCTTCTTTTATTGGAATCCTGCTCTGGCCTTATTTTTGGAAGGTCCTGACATATCAGAACAAACACTGTTTGATATCTTGTGGGATATTAACATCCTCAATCATCATCTGATGACTATTTTTAATTCCATTCATCTAAAAAATTAGTGACTGAAATAATTCCAAAGGACTATGTTGATGTAGTTATAGAAAGATGCATTTCACTAGTATGATAAAAGTTGTAAAAATAAAATGGATATTTCATGTAGTTAAAAAATTCTGAGTTTGTAAAATTACCTTCATTTCCTTGGCATTAAATGCTTATATTAAAAATAATTTGTTGACACTTTCTCATATAAAGTAATTTGCACTTTTTAAAAATCACAACAACAGGGTACTAAGGGAGGGAAAATATGAAAATATTTTATATAAAAATGCATACTATGTTTACAGAGATTAAAAAACAACAAAACACATTATGATTGTTTTCAATATTTAATCATAAGATCCCACCTTGTAACAGAAAGATTTTTAAAAGGTTTTAGAGACTGTACATAAGACCAATAAGAATCCAAAATAACTTATTAAAATAAATTGGATACTTTTTTCCTCTTTAAAAGAATATCTTTATTTTATTTATTTGGAAGCTAGAGAAAGAGAGAGCTCTCCCATTTTGTCATGTCACTAAAACTACCCCAAATCCCAAAAGTAACATGAAATTCTTCTGTTGTCTTCCTCCAGCACCTAGGAAGGATTTCACACCTCCTAGTCCCCATCATGCACTCCTTTAAGAAATGAGGTTTAAACTGTGTCCCAGGAAAGGTAGAGACAAAGCCAGGAGGAAGGTAAGAAAAAAGGATAGAGTAAGAAAGCAGTATCATTTATTCAAATATGTGTTCAAATTTGAAGCCCCTAAGGCTTCTAGGATTAAAACCAACCCTGCTATCCACTCAGTCCAAAAAATCATTACGTGTACTTGACTGGAAATTGAGCTTCTATTTGCACTTGCAGATAGATTTGGAATGCAATACATTTATAAAGTAGAAACTAACTGAATTCACTAACAGTCTATATGAGGGGCCGGAGCTATGGCATAGCAGGGAAAGCTGTTGCCTGCAGTGCCAGCAACCCATATGGGCACCAGTTCAAACTCCTGGCTCCTGGCTTCGGACTGGCTCAGCTTTGGCTGTTGCAGCCATCTGGGAAGTGAACCAGCAGATGGATGACCTCTCTCTCTCTCTCTCTGCCTCTCTAAAATTCTGCCTTTCAAATAAATAATTTTTTAAAAAAGAATCTATATGAAAGAAATTCAAAAAAGTTCATGAAAAATGGAATTTTAACAAGATTTTGATATGAAACATTTTGAAATTCATGCAATTTTTTCATAATATTTATTTTCCAGGAACTTTATGAAGATTTTCCATGTATCAGCAATCCCTTCCAACTTTCTGAAACCTAAAACCTCATGTTTTACAAAAAAAGAGAGGTAAAGAGCTTTGACTGCCTTTAACTGCATATGCTCAAAAACAGATCTGTATATGAAGTAACCAAATTAACGAAAATATACATTAGATGTTTGAAAAGACAATACCAAAGTAATACATTCAAGACAGTTCAGCATTCCTCTCATTTTAGATAAAGAATGAGACAATGTTCAGATCTTGGGAACAGTAGGACTTGTTTTGTCCTTTTTATTGCCAGAGGTTTTTAGGAAAAGATTTTAAACAGGTGTTTTGTTTTGCTGTGTTTGATGTAATATACATGTATTTTGTTTCATTCATCTGGTCAGCAAAAACAGACATCTACCTTTACACTATGATGATGAGAAAGTAAATCCATTAAAAGGGTCTATTTAGAGTTTAATTTAGTGATAAAAATGTTCATAGCTTTAGACTCAATAATTCAACTTATAAGAATTGATTCTAACAAAATAATCATAGATTCATTAATTAATTTAGTTGACAAATTATCAAAGACTTACTCTGTGCCAGGCATTAATAATATGGATGCTTATTATATTACTTTAAAGCATCAAAAAATTGGGGGGAAAAGCCAAATGTCTAATAATAGAGAGGGTTAATAAATTAAAACACATATAATAGATAAAATATTATACTACCACTAGGAACTATATTACCAAAAAATATTGAATAAAGCAAATATTTGTGGGGCCAGCATTATGTCACAGCTGGTATTCCTGCTACCTGCAACACCAGCACTGGTTCAAGTCCCAGCTGCTCCACTTCCAATCCAGCTGGAAAAAGCAGAACACATCCCAAGCGCCTGCCCCTGCACCTATATGGGAAACCTAGATGAAGCCCCTGGCTCCTGGCTATGGCCTGGCCACTCCCAGCCATTGCAGTCACTTAGAGAGTGAACAAGCAGACCAAAGGACTCTCTTTCTGTCTCTCCCTCTCTCTAACTCTGCCTTTCAAATAAATAAATCTTTAAAAAATGTTAAGCAAAAAAAAAAAAAAAATACAAAACTATATGTAGCTTCATGTAACTATATATCATAACTTTATTTATGACCCCAAATTTGCATATGAGAACCTATTTCTTAGGGATCTTGGACTAGTTACTTGACTTCACTTTACTTCCTTTCTTCATCTCCCAAATGATGAGTTTATATTTTGCATATGAAATATTTTATTTTGGGCCAGCGCCGCGGCTCAGTAGGCTAATCCTCCGCCTTGCGGCGCCGGCACACCGGGTTCTAGTCCTGGTCGGGGCGCCGGATTCTGTCCCGGTTGCCCCTCTTCCAGGCCAGCTCTCTGCTGTGGCCAGGGAAGGCAGTGGAGGATGGCCCAAGTCCTTGGGCCCTGCACCCCATGGGAGACCAGGAGAAGCACCTGGCTCCTGCCTTCGGATAGGCATGGAACACCGGCCGCAGCACGCCGACTGCGGCAGCCATTGGAGGGTGAACCAACGGCAAAGGAAGACCTTTCTCTCTCTCTCTCTCTCTCTCACTATCCACTCTGCCTGTCAAAAAAAAAAAAAAAAAGAATATTTTATTTCATATCTCAAGGGATTGTTAAATGAGTTATTTGCAGAGCACTTATAATTTTCTCCCAGTATATATAAAACACTAGATATGATTTGTTGCTATTATTGTTATACATATATAAAAATAAACATACGCAAAAAACAACTAGAAAAAGATATCAAAATATTATCAAAGATCCTGAATCCTGATCTAATTCTTTTTTTTAAGATTTATTTTTTATTTATTTGTAAGACAGAGTTACAGAGAGAGTTAAAGACAGAGAGAGAGGTCTTCCATCCACTGGTTCACTCCCCAGTTGGCCATAATAGCCAGAACTGCGCCAATCCGAAGCCAAGAGCTTCCTCTGGGTCTCCCATGTGGGTGCAGGGGCCCCAGGATTTGGGTCCTCTTCCACTGCTTTCCCGGGCCATAGCAGACAGCTGGATTGGAAGAGGAGCAGCTGGGACTAGAACCAGTGCCCATATGGGATGCCAGTGCTTCAGGCCAGGGAGTTAACCCGCTGTGCTGCAGCGCCAGCCCCCTGATCTAATTCTGAGACAATCAGGAAATGGGAACACTGAATAGAAGATATTTTAAATTATTTTATAAAATATGCTTTTTTTAAAAGTCTTTATGTTATAGTGAAGTACTTATGAAAGAAATATATCTAAGATTTCCTTTAAAATGGGAGGTTTGTGTGGGGAAGTTTTTTCCAAACACTCTTAATTTTATCAGAGGTAAATTACCTCTGGATACTGGAACTATATTATTTACATTTTTCCATTTTCCAAATTTTCTACAGTGATTTGAAATTATATTTTAAATGAGAAAAAGATTTTCAAAAAATTTTAAGAAAATCCTTACCAATACTCCATCCACAGATGATACTTTCTCCCAAGTTAACCAAGCTCTTTCTCTGACATGATCTGGTATCTTTAATTTCTGACATAATGCAGTAAAATCGGGGTCTTCAGTTTCTTCAAACTCAAGCCTACCAAATGAAAATAATCATATAACAGCATACTTGTACATAAAACTAAGTAAACATTTTTTCAATAGTTTGCAAGCAACATAATTCTGAAAAAGAATATCAGTAACCAATTAAGATTTTATTTTATCTTTGAAAACAATTACACTCAGATTGAAACATGTTTATCTTTTTTGTGGTCTTTTCAAAATAAGGATACCACACAGTGAAACATATTTGTTAAATAGAGTCAAATATAATCCAGGGCAGCAAAACAGCTTTGTGAAGGAAAGTGAATATAACAGCTAAAGATTTTGGGGAAAATGAATTATGACAATAGCAAGAAGAAAAAAAGCCATAGATAATATCATACGATCACTTTTACACCATTGACTTTGAAAAACTGTAGTATCCAATGTTTCATATAATTGCTCTACTTACTAACATTTCTTACCTGATAATTAATTTGGTATAAATTACCACATTGCTCGTCTCAGCACTTTTTTATTTGACCTTTCTTAATCAAGAAAGGCTTTCAATAAGCTGTTAGTGGCTAACTGTTTTTCATTCATTTAATGTCTATTTGACACATACAAAGAGTAATAATTAATGTTTTCAGTATTTACCAAAATCCTACGCAAAGTACCTTGGATGCCTGGTTTCACTGAATCTCCACATCAGCCCTGTAAGTTAACTATTCTCATTAGCCTTAGTTTTACAGATGTCTTGTGAAATCAGAGAACTTAGAGCACTCACCTGATGTCAACGCCAATGAGGGGTAAACCATAATATGAACCCAACAATCTAACTCCATAACTCATGCCCCTGACCATTCCTTTAGACTGCCAACTCCTTCTTCAAAACTTAATTAACTTTAGGTTCTTTCAACAATAAAGATGGTATGCTGTTCCTAGTGATAGTTTCCCTTACAACTATATCATTTAGACAAGACCTAATGCAACAGAAGTAAGTTCTCAACACTCAAATAGAAATAGACTCTTTCACTGGAAGTGCAGCTGGACTGGGCCCTGAATCCACCCCTAAGCATATTTCTTAACTTCAGAATGCCAAGCAATGTTTCGACCTTTGCTAAGTCCAGTCATGCACTGCACAATGACATTTTGGTCCATAACAGACAGCATTTGTTACAGTAGTCCCACGGAAATGTAAAGAATTCCCATTACCTGATAATTCTATGATAATCCTAATATCCTGGTGCAAAGCATTAATCACATGTTTGGGGTGATGCAGGTGGAAACAAACCTACTGTGCTGCCATTCATAGGTATTTATATAAAAGAATATTTAATAATTATAAAAGACTATACTACTGGTTTAGGGATTTACTAGACTATGCTTTTGTGTTGTTATTTTAGATATTCCTTCTACTTATAAAAACAAAAGTTTACTATAAAACAGTATATTGTGTTACACTTGCAACAGTCACATATATTTTACATTTATCACATCTTGATGCATCAAGAGGCCATTTGGGGTGATTGAGCAAGATAATCAAGGTTTATGTTAAGTACATTCTATGATATTCACACAATGACGACATCATCTAACAGTGCATTTCTCAGAACACGACCCTTCTGTTAAGTGGTACATGGCTGTAGTGAATCTATAGTTAGGGGGTCTATGTTAATGAAAATCTTTATGGGTATGAATAATCAAGAACAAAATGATATCTTGTATATCCTTGACTTGTAGGAAAATTTTTTATAATTCCATCATTTAAGAATACAAGCATATTTCATTTTCTTGTATTTTGCTTTACTGCACATTACAGATACTGCATTTTTTTTTTAATAGAAGGTTTTGGGAACCTTGCACATAGCAAGTCTATCAGCATCATTTTTTCAACAGCTTGGGTGGTTGCTAGCAATTTTTCGTAATAAAATATTTTTAAATTAACGAATGTACATTGTGCTTTGAGACACAGTGCTAATGCACACTTGAGAGACTATAGTATAGTACAAAAATAAGTTTAAATGCATAAAGAAACCAAAAACTTCGTGTTACTCGCTTTATTGCGATATTCACTTTATTGCAGTGGTCTGGCATGGAATCTGCCATTTCTCCGAGGTCTGCCTGTATACTGTGCTGGATGAAAAATGAAAGAAACAAAAGCCTTCTTCTCCCAGGGGACGGCCAGAACTTCATTTCTTGTTACCATACAATAATTGAAAGTGCTTCTTTAGAACAGGCATACATTACTGCTCTTTTCATGGACAAGTACAATGGCATTTAATCAAAAACTAAAGTGATATCTTCTCCCAGCATATCCCTCAGACCTGGCTTTGTTTTTGTTTTCACTAGTGAGTATTATTTTGAACTGACACGTTGTAAGATAGTCCATTTAAATATGTTAATTTTTAATAGCTTTCCAGAGTCCATTTCCAAAATTCTATTTCGATGTTTTACAATTCTGTCTGAATTCAGCTAAGATTCCATGGAGTGGAAGGAAAGATACTATTCAGGGGGCACAAAAACAAGACTTGGTGATAGACTAGAGCTGGGGAGGGAGTGCCACTGGAAAACCAGCGGCATTCCCGGGCAATGGCTAGAACAAGCACTGACAATAATCCTAACTCTGCCCGTTCTGTACTAGCAACTTCACTGTAAAGCCTCACGATCAAGATGTTGCAATACAATAAGCATCTTTCTGTCACGTAGCACTGCGTCCATGAGGACTTGCTTAAACGTAGAGATTCCACTCGCTAAGGGGTGAAGGGGTGACAGCGGAGTTCCAGGTGAGCAGAAGAACACCATTAATTTCATACCAAACCCAAACAAAACCAAAAAGAGGGGACACCAAGCATCCCTGCTGGCTCAAAGTGAAAGGCAAAATGTAATAACGAGGCATGCGGAGGCCTCGCAAACACGCAAGCGAGTTCTTCCATCAGAAGAAAAAAAAAAAGAAGAAGAAGAAGAAAAAGAAAATGGAAAGTTTGGTAACTTTCAAGCGCTTCACTAAATGTCTCAACGAAACTTTAGCCCAGAGGCCAGTTCGTGTAAAGAAAGTTAGGCTCCACCAGTGTCTACAGCCGGCTTTAAATCCTCGAGGCCTCCACACATTGTTTTAGGGAACCCCACAACGCCTCGCGGCCGTGTAGCCCGTGGGCAATTCACACCTAACACCCTGCCCTTCACGTCCAAGGCCTTCCCGGGCCTCTCCCAGTTCTGAGCTTCGGAGGTAGCGCACGCCCAGAGGAAAGAAGAAAAAAAAAAAAAAAAAACAAAAAAAACAACTTCCAACTGTTGCGTCGCAGGGGATCGAAACAGAAAGTCAGGCGACCACCGAGGACTCCAGATCTCCACTGGAGAAAAACTCGCCAACACACGTACCATTTTTGTACTTTAAAAAAGAATTTTTTTTTCGCTGCATGAGGGCTGGTAATCAGCCGTCGGCTGCGAGCCGCTGTCTCGCTAGAGGAGACTGCACCTGTCACTTCGCTCAGGGACCCGAGCCCCACCCGCCCGACACCTGTCAAGCTGGAGCCGAGACCCCTCCAGCAGCCCTCTCCCCGTCGCTCACGATCCCGGATCTCTGTCACCGCCCCGCAGACGCTCCGCTGCCGTGGAGGAGGCAGGGAGGGACCCTCGGACCATCCCGCCGCCGGGACCGACCCCGGCGAGGATGCGCCCGCGCCCAGCCGCCGCGGCTCCCGCCCGCCCGCCCGCCGCACCCCCGGGACTCCCTCCTCGCGTGCCGGCCGCAGCGGCGGCGGTGCCCGCTCACCTGGCCAGAGGCAAGTCCTCAGGACCACTGTCCTGTTCCGCGTCCTCCTCAGGAGGCGGCGGCGGCGGCGGCGCCGGGGGTTCCACCGCGGCGGCGGCGGCGGCAGCTGCTCTTCTCGGGGTTTTGGGCGGCATGACGCCTTCTCAAGGCAGGAGCAGCGAGCTGAGGAGGAGCGCCGAAAACTGACGGCGCGCGCGCACCTCGGGGCACGCCCCGTCCCCTCCCGACTCCCGTTACAAAAATAATTTGAACGTCCCCTGAGAAAAACCGGACGCGCCCTCCCCCGCCCGGCAACCGAGCGCCGCGTCCAACCGCGGGAAAACGTCACTTCCGCCCGCGGCGTCACGTCCGCGAGGCTCTCGGGCCCGCCGGCGTCTGGGGGGAACCGGGGCGCCAGGCGGTGCGCGGGCCGGGGCGCGAGGTCGCGCGGGAAGGCCGGCGCGGGTCCAGGCACCCCGCTGGGAGCCCTGGGTGCTGCCCGAACGTGGTTTTCTCCGAAACTGCCCCCCGGTGGGCCGGTGTCGCGGCTTTACAAAGAACCCGGTGGGTGACACGGGGGCCGCGTCGCTATCTCTGGGTCTGGGCGGGGAGCGCTGGGCGAGGGCACCCTGGGCGGGCACGCCCCTCTCCCTCTCCCTCTCCTCACCCTCACCCTCCTCCTCCTCCTCCTCCGTGGGCGGCGCCGTCCCTCCCCGCCTCTCTCCTCCCGCCCGCTCGGTTTAGCCTCGCATCTTTGGCCAAACAACAACAAATGGGGAGCACCGCGTAGGTGTGGAACTCTGCTGGCTTCTGGCGCTTGGGCAGTGCAAGACAATAGCTGCCCTTTTTGGGGGGATCGCTGGGTGGAGAGGCCGCGGCTGTGGCCATGAACAGACCCTAGCTTATAGAAGGTCTTAATGGTGATGTAAAAAGAGGCGGCACCATCCAGACGTCAAAGGGAGGTTTTTGGAGGGGCAGTGGCAATTGAATAGAAGTTTCCTAGGCCAACCCATTATTTAAGGAGCGCTTGCTGTGTACCACAGACTGTGTGGAGCACCTTCTGTAATTATCTGGAATCCTCCGAAATGGCCCTTTAAAAGGAGGGCGGGGAAAGGGTACAAGTGCACTTAAGAAAGTTCATGAAAATGACATTAAAAGAGGGATTTATTCGTGTGCCAAAAACGTTTTGAAATCCGTGCGTATTGGGGATCTTCAAAAAGTTCGTCGAAAATACACATTCTCAAAAACTAGGCATGGGTTTCAAAAGTGTTCACGCCCAAATAAACTTGGCTGTTAATTCCGTTTTTCCACGAACTTTCTAAGGTATACCGCCTGGTGTTAGCCTTTCACGTTGTGAAGGGAGACGCAGGCTTGGAGAAGTTAATTAATTTGACCAAAATCACAGAGCAAAAGGAAGGCAGAAGGCTTGCACTCCACTTCTCCGTTAGGTTCTGTCAATGAAGAAGCCAAGCAGGAAGTGCAAAGGCACAAAGTCAGCAAAGAACTTAGTGGAGCCACCACCTTAAAACTCTGGCTGAGAAGCTGTGTATCTGTCTCTTGGTATTTATTTATATTAATAGATTGTCTAATTTAAAAAAAATTATTTATTTGAAAGGTAGAGTTACAAAGAGAGGGAGAGGCAGAGAGAAAGGTCTTCCATCCACTGGTTCACTCCCCAGATGACCACAACGGCTGGAGCTGGGCCAGTCCGAATCCAGGAGCTTCTTCTGGGTTTCCCATACAAGTATAGAAGCCTGAGTACTTGGGCCACCTTCTACTGCTATCCCAGCCCACAGCACAGAGCTGGATCAGAAGCGGAACAGCCAGGACTAGAAGCGGCACCCATATGAGATACTGGTGCTGCAGGCAGAGGCTTAGCCCACTACGCCACAGTGCGGGCTGCTAGATTGTCTAATTTGAATATGTTTTTCTCTCTCTGGCATTCACACCACTCAGTACTCCCCAACTGAGGTTCTATGAATAAAATACAATTTTCTTCTGGTGTCAGTCCCCTCAACCTGGAAGAGCTGAGCAGGGCCTGAAGAATCGGGAACCTCCAAGGAGGTCATGGCTGCAAGTCTCCTGAGTTTAGCCCTGCAGGATTTGCATTTTCTCTGTGGGGCAGTGCTTTAGACAGTTGGTGGAAGATAGAATGCAGAAACATTTTGAAATCTATGTAGTTTTTCATAATACGTATCTCCATGAACTTTTTGAATACTTCCCATATGCATGGACTTTGTACCAAAAAAAACACCCTGGTCTTTTAATTCCATTTTCTATGTGCCATGACATGTGCCAGGATGTGGGAATGCATGGCATCGCTGGCCTACCCAGCAGCCAGTCTGGCCTAACTTCAGGAGGAAGGCCCAGGTCCACCCAGAGAGAATGAACACGGTGAAAGGGGTAGCCCCTTCACCTGGCCTCAGTTTAGGCCAGAGCTCAGGATGCAGGCTTGACCTTTGGAAGATGAAGGATAGTCCCCTGGGAGCCTGAAAAAGAAAGGCACAGGATGACACAATTCTGCCCCTTGACTGTTAGGAGAATGTGACACTTGGGATTGCTGTAGCAATTGTAACCTGAGGCAAGGGATGAGGCAGAAATGCTGAGGCTGGTGCAGTGGAAGAGCCAGAGAATCGGTCCTTAATGATGTAACTGAGCTGCTGATTGAACCAACCCTGGAGCTGACCTCAAGTGAGCTGCTAGTCCCAGTTGTATCAAAGCATTATGATAATAATATTTCTCCTGAGAGCCCCCATTAGGGTAAAGACCAAATCTTAGGCGTCGATGTGGCTGTAATGTCTAGCATAGTGTTAGGACACAGGAAATGCTAGCTTGCTAAAAGTAGTGAGGCCAGGAGAACAGAGGAAAATTCTGGGAGCTGAAGTCAACCCTCCTCGTGTGGAAATGACTTGCTTTATTTAAACCCAGTTTACCAACATTCTGGATTTATCACAATCAGAATAAAATCAAAGAGACATATCTCAGTTTACAGAGGGATGTATCTCTTTATCCTGATTGATTTAACCTTGTTCCCTCTAACATTTAAAATATAAGAGACTCAAAAATTCATGGAAAATGTATATTATGGGAAAAAATTCATAGGTGGAAACATTTTGTACCAGAATCAGCTTATCTCTTAATTTCATTTTTATATAACCATTTTGAGGTACCCTTGTATATTTTCCTTTCATGCAACTCAGGAACAGTTGAGTCAATCAAAATCTTTACACTCTGTCTATCTCCAGATTTCTGTTGTGCTATCGAAGAAGTATGAGGGGGCTTCAAAATTCCATGGAAAATCACAATATTTTTAAATTACATTTCTCCATGAACTCTTTTTGGGGCCCCTTAGTATTAGAAACTTTGCAGATTCTTTTTTTTAAGAAAACTTTTATTTAATAAATATAAATTTCAAAAGTACAACTTTTGGATTATGGCGGTTTTTTCCCCCATAACCACCCTCCCATCCACAAACCATCCCATCTCCTACTCCCTCTCCCATCCCGTTCTTCATTAAGATTCTTTTTTTTTTTTTTTTTTTTTTTTTTTTTTTTTTTACAGGCAGAGTGGACAGTGAGAAAGAGAGAGAGAGAAAGGTCTTCCTTTTTGCCGTTGGTTCACCCTCCAATGGCCACCGCGGCCGGCGCACCGCACCTATCTGAAGGCAGGAGCCAGGAGCCAGGTGCTTCTCCTGGTCTCCCATGGGGTGCAGGGCCCAAGCACTTGGGCCATCCTCCACTGCACTCCCGGGCCACAGCAGAGAGCTGGCCTGGAAGAGGGGCAACCGGGACAGAATCCGGTGCCCCAACCTGGACTAGAACCCGGTGTGCCAGCGCCGCTAGGCAGAAGATTAGCCTATTGAGCCACGGCGCTGGCCAAGATTCATTTTTAATTAGCTTTACATACAGAAGATCAACTTAGTATATACTAAGTAAAGATTTCAACAGATACCTTGCAGATTCTTAAAAGAACTTTCTTCTGATCTCCCTAAAGCTGCACAATAATTTTAAGATTGCTGTGAGCTTGGGGTCAGTGCTGTGGCACAGTGGGTAAAGCTGCCGCCTACAGTGCCAGCATCCCATATGGTTGCCGGTTTGAGACCCGGCTGTTCTGCTGTGGCCTGGGAAAGCAGTAGAAGATGGCCCAAGTCCTTAGTAGGCCCCTGCTTCCACATGGGAGACCCAGAAAAAGCTCCAAGCGCCTGGCTTTGGATTGGCCCAGCTCAGGCCATTGTGGCCATTTGGGGAGTGAACCAGCGGATGGAAGACCTCTCTCTGCCTCTGCCTCTCTGTAACTCTGCCTTTCAAATAAATAATTAATTAATAAATAATAAATAAATATTGCTGTGAGCACCAGAAAAAAAAATGCTCTCTCAGATTTTCTGAGGAGGGACCTGTCTTCAACTCAAGACCCCTTCAAAATCTTCCTTCAATGTGTTTGCACCCATATTGCAGAGATACTCACAGTGTATGATATACAGACTTTCAAGGATCTTCAATTTTCCTCTTTTCTTTGAATTCCCTGATTTGAGTCACCAATTGATTCTTGAAGGTTTCAGGGAACAGAAACCTGTTGAGTTTATCTGAATTATCAAGGGTTAATGATAAGTTTAAGGAAAGATAATGAAGAAAACATCAAAATAGTGTCTCTGCTGCTACACTTGCATGTCTTGTCATCTACCACCAACAGGCTCCCCTCCTTCCTGCCATTGTGACTATTATTCTTCATCTCCATACTACTACTGTTATGCTGACCTTCTCTTCATGCCAGCAATTCACACTCCTCATTAGCGAGAATGTGATTGGTTCTACTGAACTGTAATTTCCATGAGCACTTGCATAATTTCTAGGACATAGGCCAAAATGAAAATGCATCGCCCTTTATTCAACAATTATTAAAAATTTCAAGATGGTGACAGAGTTGGTGGTTGGCATTAAATCAAACATGGGCTCTTCCAACATGACAGTTACGTGATTTCTTAGCTTACATGTCCATGAAGTTTTCTAGCCTTTGAAGTTAGGTCTGTATTTGTTCTGCTAACCAGTGTGTTCCCATGCCTAGCATGTGCCTAGCCCATAGAGGATTTTTTTTTTTTTTTTTTTTTTTTTGACAGGCAGAGTGGACAGTGAGAGAGAGAGAGACAGAGAGAGAAAGGTCTTCCTTTTGCCGTTGGTTCACCCTCCAATGGCCGCCGCTGCAGCCGGCGCACCGCGCTGATCCTGGCAGGAGCCAGGAGCCAGGTGCTTTTCCTGGTCTCCCATGGGGTGCAGGGCCCAAGCACCTGGGCCATCCTCCACTGCACTCCCTGGCCATAGCAGAGAGCTGGCCTGGAAGAGGGGCTACCGGGACAGAATCCGGCGCCCCAACCGGGACTAGAACCCGGTGTGCCGGCGCCGCAAGGTGGAGGATTAGCCTATTGAGCCACGGCGCCGGCTGCCCATAGAGGATTTTAACAAATACCTGTTGAATGAATGAATGAGCCCTCATCGGTTGAGCAGAGCTCTCATATCTGAGTTCCAAGTCTCTTTGGAGGCCTCTATCCACCTTGTAAATTCTGCCTTTGG